ATGACATAGTGGATCGTCTCTCAGACGTGACTTTCCGGGTAAAATGTGGTCGGCAAGGTAAACCAAAACTCTACTCAATTTTGAGAAGGGAAACGGTGAAGCTCTTGATGAAGTTACTACCACTGATATGACTGTTACTGATGATAGGACATTTCCTGATGAAATAGATGAACCCCACATGAAGCAGAAGCCAACGAGACGGAGACCAGTACGGAAGAAGATACGTCCCGTAAAATTAAGAGACTTTGTTGAATTGTAATTTTGTGATTTTAATTCTGTACATTTAATTAAGTTATTGTTAATTGTTATTGATTTATTGTATGTGGCTAAGGAGGGGCAGTGTTGCGTCAACGAGATCACGTGACTATTTTACGCCACCTATTTTCTAGAAGTATCTTGTTCCTTCGTGAATGCCCTAGCATTTACTAGATATATATTTGTCTGGTATATATATATATATAAGACGCTCACAACGTGAGAATAATGTAATGTGTGTGTAGGTAGTGAGTAATTGAACTGCAGTCAGAAGTATTGTTGACGTTCGTTGATATAGCGTTTGTTATAGAGCGACTGTTGAAAATAAGTGTATCGTAAAGTTGTATTCGGGAAGAATAAACCAGTTTTATTAAGTAAGGACTTGTGTCGCTAAATTTTCGTCTGAACGAAGTTACGGAAAATCAATTAACAAACGGAGACGTAACACTACTATTAGTTTTACTCTAACGTATTAAACATTAGGCCTATCACTTCTACGGTAGTTAACTTCACACCGAACTTTCCTTGTTGTAACTTCACTCTCTTCTGCTATTTACTGTCTGCTTTTCCGCTCATCTCCCCTATTTATATGCTTATCTCTTAATCGTCTTGCCCGCCTTCTATGTTCTCGACGTCAATGTATTGCACGCAACGTTCGACAGTCTCAACATCAATGACTTATAAACACAACTTCTTACAATCGTCTGCTTTTAACTCTTATTATATACAAAAACTAAACAATAATAAAATATTCACTCATAAAAATAAATTAATCAATAATATCTAAACTAAACAGTCTTTTATATCATGACACAAACCCCTCTTCAAGATAAATATTTTAAATACATTTTTTACTATATACACAGACTGTTCTTAGTTCATACACAAAGTCTGCTCATACACTCTACACTAATCTTCACAGTTCCTTTGTCTGTCTCTCCTAGCGTAGGGTCGCCAGCAGGGCTTCTCTTTAACAGAATCCCTCATCTTCATCTTGACCGTGTGTTGTCTGAGGCCTGTATTTCCTAATTTACCTGTATGCTGACACAGAGGATTTTATTTTCTTCCCTCTTCCTATCAGTCAGTTGGACACTCATGTTGATGTCCTTGTACGTCTTGTCTCTACTCGGTGCTCTTAGGCTTAGTAGGTCCTTATCTTCTGTAATGAAGTTACTGTCTTCAGATTCTACTTCTCTGACAGCCACACCTGCAACATCCATCTCTGTTTCAATAGCTGCACCCGTTAGGTCTTCACTTACAAAATACTTCTTCAACAGATTGGCATGGTAGATCTTGGTATTCACATTCACCTTGTAGTCCATTCTGTTTAGTACTTCCTGTACTTCAAAAAGTCATTTCCATGCAGGGTGAGTTTGTTGTGGGCAGCAGAACTAAGACCTTTCCCCCACCTTGAAACGTCAATCCTTGGCCTTCTTGTCATAGAAATGCTTCTGACTACCTTGAGCTGCATACAAACTCTCTCTCTAGCAAGTTGACAGGTTTCCTCCAGTCGCTTTCTGAGGTCGAACACATACTGGCATGTGTCCCTTACTTCTGACTCTTCTTCTGCCATCTATAGCTCTTTCAATATTTGCATCGGATCTCGTACTGTCCTTCCATGCAGTAACTCGAAGAGTGAAATCCTGTAATTGCTTGTGGGACTTCTCGATAAGCGAATACTACTGTATTCAAGTACCTGTCCCAGTCATGTGGTCTCTCTTGGCACATTTTCTTTAGCATACTCTTTAAAACTCCATTGACTTTCTCACAAAGTCCATTATATTTAGGATTGTACGGGGTGGTAAAGAGTTGCCGAGTAGTGATGAGTCTGCATCAGTTCTGAAGTAAACTGGGTTTCTCTGTCACCCAGGATTTCTCTTGGAAAGCCTACTCTGCAAAATATCTCCAAGAAGCCTTCTACAACTCTCCCAGGCATTGTCCCAAAGTTTCAGCAGTGAATGGTCTTTCTTCTGTGCTTCCTTCAGTTCCTGCAAACCTAAATTCGGGATATCGCTTTTTGACACTTACAGGGGCTTGATGTCTTCTTTTCTTGAATTCTGGTGGTGACAGCAGATGTTTCATCAATCTTCTTTCTGTCTAGTTCCTCCAAATGTTTACTACCTGCTATGTTTGCTATCACCAAGTCGTATAGTGGTTCCTTGATACACATGGGTTCAAGGTTTCCTACATAATATGGAGTATCCACCTTTATTTTCACCATGGGAAATGTTCTCACTGTCCCATCAATTAGCACACACAGACGTGCCTTGCCTGTCATCTGATCATCGGATATTAGACTGATTCTCACTGCTGTACTACCGCAATCAGTGTCTCGTAGAACCTTCACTTTCTTGTCCCCAATATAGCCTTCATAATATGCCAATATTTGCACTGTTGATCCGTTTGCTAATTTGAGCCAGCGTTTAAACCATCTACTTCCTCATTGTTAGACTACCCGTATTTATGCCACTTATTAAATTATCAAACGACTCGTTACAGACAGTGTTCGTTCCTGTTTGCACGCAATTACAAAAAAACAACAACAAGAAAACGCATAAATTGAGAAACGGATTTTATCCTAGAAATCCCAAAGAGATACTGTTCTAATTACTATAGATCAGTTTTTGCTAATTACATTATCATACCTTTATATACGAAACAACTGTTAGCGTTCTATTCGTAAGTAAATACACAATACTGTGTAATCTGATATGAAGTTTAAATCAACAATAACGAAAAAACACCAAATTTATATAGATACTAGTTTCGACACTTTCACGTGTGTTGCTCAGTCCAAGTACTATCCGTATAAATTAGTTGTTGTTCCGTTATTGTGGATTTAAACTTTATTTAAGTGTTGGTGTAGCTGCATGATCAGTATTGAATGTGAGAGTACATTTAAGATCCACGTGTCTTATAACAGAACAAAGCAGCACAAGTGTACAAAGAAGTGCCTGAAGATATGCTGAACTTTGAAACTAGAAACCATCGTTAATAAACTGGTATAAATTAAATTTGTCCAGCTAGTGCTTGATTTTTACATATATTAAAAAAGATTTGTTTTGAACAGACATAATCAATCATATAGTATTACGTTTCTTCGCAGTATATGTATACTTTGGTTGGGAACTGGCCTAAACAATATGCATGAATGTGTGACTGATAAAATGCTTTCAAAAATAGTCATGATGTAGAACTGATAAAACACAAAGGCAGGTGTGTGATATGTTTGTATTGTAACGGTTCCACTAATCAGTTTCATGTAACTTCGTCCAGAGATCAAACGTCACATGAGGAATTCTTATCTTTACGTTTGATTATTTATAATGTTCACCGACCATCGATGAGTAATTTTGTTCTAGAATATATCTACAAGGTTTGTGTATAGCCGAATCTGTTCACCATGTTGAAGTTTGTAATGTTAGGAATTATTTTGCTTGCTTGCCATCACACATCTTTAGCGGAAGTTCTTACTCAGCCTGAACAAATACACATTTCATATGGAGGTAAGGTTTGAGGTTTTTATTTAGCAATAAAAAATACACTAAAAACCTGAGGAAAATCAATAATGGTAGCATTTCCTTCGGATTAAGGAAGTTTACGGTAAAGCTTCATGTATTTATTAATATATCACAACGTTACAGCTGATCTCGAAAAACGTTCATCAGCAAAACAGATACCAATAATTGAAAATAACCACATCACTCTTATTAATTAATTACAAAACTAGCAAATCCTGTAAGAATATAGTTGTAACTATCTTATCATTCAAGCACTCTTTTAATAAAGATAAATAAATAAAACGTTTTAAAACAGTTCTAATATAGTTTCCCTGAAAGTCACGAAGATGTACAAAATTCAGTTTAACGTTTTGTTGTAATTACTGTATCATCTGCATAAAAAAGTTCCCATATTTTTAGCGGTTCTATTTAAATAAACTAATCTTGAAGAACATAACAGATGTCACTGAATTACTCTAATTAGTTAATATTTTACTATAATAATTTTTCTCAGTACTGTTTCTGATGTTCAGTGGTGTACTTGAGAAGTATTGTGTGAATATTAGCCTTATGATGTGTAATGGTTGTGTCTCCTACCACTGTTAACGACGTAAGACCCACTGTGTTTGAGATCCATCTTCAAGAAGCGTTTTGATACATATTTGAACATGGCTTGATTGATACACGCCACTTGGTTATTCGGATCGTTGCTGGATTTTTAAAAACAATTATATATATGATTGATTATTAAAAGTTGAAAAATTAGTTTAACTTGATTAAAACTAAACTTTATTACAGTTTCTTATTTTTTTCAAACAAAAATGGCACAGCTGAATGTCTGCGGACTTACAACGCTAGAATCCGGGTTTCGATACCCGTGGTGGGCAGAGCACAGATAGCCCAATATGTAGCTTTTTGCTTAATTACAAACAAACAAAAATGTTCTAGAAATGGAAATAAGTTTTATTAATTTTGTTAGAAACTTAATTAAAGTTAAGTGTATACTTATAGTATCTTCTTTCGTGACAAAAACAGGTTATGTGCTCAATAAGGTATATGTGTATAAAGAGATATAATTGCAAAACACTTAACTTACTTTACATTTATAAACTTTTAGTAGCTCCAACAGAGATGGTTGTGACGTGGGTAACAATGGACCCAACAAGTAGCTCTATTGTTGAGTATGGAGAACACAACTTGAATAAATCCGCCAAAGGGTCTAGTACAAAATTTGTTGATGGCGGCTCTGAGAAAAGGGTTTTCTACATTCATCGCGTGGTTATCAAGAATTTGTCACCTGGTACCTTATATAGTGAGTAATAATATTATTCTCGTGATTCTTCCTGTATTGATACAAAAAAATATATAATTTTTAGGAAAACTGTAAACTACTTGGCTAGGTAGAGATGGTTTAAAATAAATTATACAATACGAAATATATTTTTTTAGGAATTACCCATATGACAAAGAATAAAGTTAAACAAAAATGGAAAACAATACTGAATAAAAAAAAATTGTTCTTGTACAAAAAATTGTACATCAAGATGTAAATAAAAATGTATGTCCATTATAGAAATTAAATCACTACAGGGAAAACATCATTACAATAGATGAATTATTATCTGTTGTCTCCTGCAGGATATCATTGTGGTAGTAATGAAGGATGGAGCTCTCTATATTTCTTCAGTACCATGAGGAAAGGGAACAAATGGAGTCCTCGTTTCGCAGTGTTTGGAGACCTGGGTAACGTGAATGCCCAGTCCTTACCTCGTCTACAAGAAGAAACGCAACGTGGAATGTATGATGTTATTTTACATGTCGGTTAGTATGCATTGAGTTCGATTTCCTTAAAAACAAAATGACATTTATCGTATTCAATGGATATCTAGATTTTCAGATATATACGCCCAGTGAGGGTAAAATATAGATTAAGGTATTAATAATAATGCTGTTGCTAAGGTGTCCTAACAACATAATCTTTGTACACATAAAGCGGAAGTGTCCCACTGCACCCCGTCACCAAAATCGTAATGGGCAGACAGTAATTGAACTGTTCTATCTGAATGAATGTATTTTGGCTTTTATGACTCCTATTTCTAGAAATCAAACGTGATGTAACGCGACACACAAACTGGCTGTTATATACGGTTAGATACAATGTATGGGGAAGATATAGGAGAGGGTTAAATCCAAATGCCGGCCTCCATCCCTCTGTCATTTCCCGGAGAGCCATAACAAGATGTCAAGTTTGTTGACAATTGGTCCAGCAGTTTGCCAATTATAAGTAGACACACACACAGACTAGTCAATGGTTCTGATTACTCAGTGATTTGACTTGCTCTTCACCCACCGGTAGCTCAATGGTAACTTTGAGGGCTTATAACGCAATGGGCACAGCATAGATAGCCGATTAGCTTTGTGCTTAATACAGAAAAACATTTGACTTGATTTTTTAACCTTTTGAACTGTGCTGAATTGTGAGGGAGAGATACATTTATTACAAATGATACTCTCATTATACTTTTGATCGTTGTAGATTATATAAAGTGGAATAAAGTTATTATACCTATCAATACTTTTCATCAAAAACAAATGTATTAAATTTACTTTGAACATTCTCCCTAAACTGAGCCTAATATAATTAAAATCATACCTGTTTTGATGTAACACACCAAGTAGTAAACTAAGTTTGAAATTACATACATCCTTTTGTGGTATGCTGACATACTTCATATTTTCTACCATATTTTTAAGAAATGTATAAGCAAGTGTATGTGGTTGCAATACAGAAATGTTAGTCATAAAAATCGATAAGTTCCTTATACCTATTTTCTCGAGTCTTCACATGGGGTATCATATGTTTTTCTCATAGGAAGTATTTCTGTAAGATCGAACTATGTAGACGTGGACAGTGATATTTTCCACTGACGGGTTGGTGATACCCTAAAGATGTAACCTCCCTCAGATTTCAATCGGAATGGCCCACAGTTATGCGGGTAGCACACACGCCCTGAGAAGAGCAGAACTAATTTTGCGTGTATATATAATGCTACATTTTCTCAGTTTGGTAGGATTCTTCCAACAGTCCTCGACATTTTTTCTCAGTACAGTTTTTAGCAGATTTGTCACAGTTACAAATTCCTACAATAGGTGCCATTTCTCGCGCACTGGTCTTACCTTTGAATTTTTTCCGTTGTTATAGATAAAAAATTTTGTTTTGTTACATGTTGTATGCATTTTCTATTGTTCTTGAAACTCAGGTTAAGTCAAATAATTCATACTTCCACTATAGTGCATTTTCTGTCAAACCTCTTGTTATTCTTTGAAACCTTTTGTTATTCTTAGTGGAAGTCAGTGCACCTGAGAATACCACATAGTAGGTAAAAAGTAAAAGATTATTTGCCATAACCAGGATTTATTTTTGAAGAGTTTTCTGTTTTGGTTTCTTGTGAGTGTATTTACCCGGGTTCTTCTGCATTTTTGTACTTAATTAGAGGCATTTTCCACTATCATAGACTCAGAAAGGAAAATTTCCAGAATGTGATATACCCACAACAGCTGATTTAGTTCTCCCCCCGAAGATCAGTCTCAGTGTGAGGGAGGCATGAATGCTTGTCTGAGTTTAAGGGGTCTGTGTTCCTTACCTTTAAGGTATATCAATCTGATATTGGCCAAGAGCCCATAGATGAGAGATATATACCTCAATCACAGGTCCCTGTGTATAAGGCTAAGCAGATCTCTTCTTTTATGTTTAAGGGTCTGGCTAAAACGACCTGGACCATTTCCTGAAATATTTTAGGCAGGTGACTGTTTAAAATGGCTGGAATCAGAATCAGGTGATGCATTGCTTGAGTTGGAGGTTAATAATCTAGCCCTTGTTTCTATTTAACACTTGAATTGGGAGCAACTCTGGAACTTGGACACAGTCATAATCAAGTTCTGCTAACATTCTGAAAGAGAGGTCCCACTTATAACTGATCTGTTTCCATTGATAGTCATATGCTGCAATGGCTTTGGAAAATTGTGAGAATATCCTCGTAGACAAGTTCACAAAGGGGCTACCTGGTGAGGCAATGAGACATCATGTGGATGTAAAAGACGTTATCACTATAACAGAAGTAATATCTGTGGTGACTAGGTTCAAACTCTTGATTTTAAATAAGTTGCAAGAAAGGAAGAAGTCTGCAGTACCAATTGCATTGGTAATACCTTGGACAGACTACCCTCATCAAATGTGACTGTACCTTGGCAAGGGCAGACTAGCAGCCAACACATCATGCCACTGTACTATTACCACACTGGTTCTTAATTAGTGACCAGGACGTCCATGGTTCTCCCATGATGTTTATGGCTCAAACAGTGATACTAAAGATTTTTCTGAGGTATTGCTCTGAAACTTAAGACTAAATCATTTGCTTTGGGTGTGGGCAGTTGATAGGCAGTTAAAATGCCTATACTTTGCTATGCAGAAAAATAAGCAAGGCTACCATTACTACAGATGAGGGCTAGTGCATCAGTGATGTGTAATATGGTGATAGAGTCAATAACTGAAAGGCAATGTTATTTTTCCAGAAAGTAGGCAACATTAGCTCTAACAGTAATCTATCTATGGAGGAATGAAGTTTTATAGCTGCTCTACAATTTTGAGCTGCTGGCTATCCATATTGCCAGTAGAATGGTTTTTGGCATGATAAACAAAGTGGAGGTAACTGAGATTAGCGTCATCACTAGTTTTGCTTCCTTTGTGCCACATCCATCAGAAACTACACATTTATTTATATGTCTGAGGTTACTGGTTTAGAATTGTGCAAACAATCTGGATTCAAAACAGTGGCAGAATTTTAGTGAGTAATTGGTTTAATATGTCAATATTTTTATGGAACCAGATGGCTAATTGGGTAATACTAGGTAGCTATCATATAGATACAAATGATGCACAACCAATTAAACAATCACAAAGGATTGTAGAGGAATCATATAGCCTACAAAGAGTTTGTGGTCATATTCAGTAATGATTGTCAGGAAGAAGGATGATATACCAAGATCATGTGTTAATTCCAGATGTGTGAAAATGGTAACTCACACTGGTGCTTCTCCACTCCTGTGGTTAGATAAATGTTTGGATGCATTGAAAGTTCCTATTTGCTCAACGTTATAGACTAGGCATATGGATACTGGCAATTTGATGAGAGTAGCCATAAGACTTTTCAGCCCTAGAGATAGTTTGTAAGAGTCGCATCATGCTTTTCAGTCAGTACAATGAGATTGCTACCTTTAATTTACACTGAAGGAGTTCCAATGAGAAAGATGCATAATCTTTATGATAGACATCTTGGTGTTTGGCCACACACATAAATTGTTTTGCTGAAAACCTAAGCATGGTAGTTCAGTAGGAATTAAGACAGACGTGAACTTGAAACTATGAAAGTGTGCATAGAAGTGGAACTTCTCGGTCATATTGACCTTACAAAGATCACAGTAGTGTCAGACTAACTTCAACCTAAGACCAAACATGAAGTCTGCAGTCCCCTTAAACTCCCATCATGTTACCTACATTTTGCGACCCAACTACTCCAAAATTGCTGCACCATTATATACTTTTACTGAAATGATGTGCAGCTTAGATGGACCAAGCATTTCCACCACTAAAGCATAATTTAGATGAAGCTCTAGTGTTTGCATATCCACAACAGGACCATTAGTTCTTGTAGATACTCACATACCAGTGATAGTGGAATAAACGTAGTGTTTAGAGAATCAAAATTATTGAGACATATCTAACTGGAGCGGCTCATGTAAATTATCATGGTAATAATGCAAGACCCAGAGGCAATCTACCTAAAGCTACTAGCATATGTGACAATTTGTAATATTGAGACATATGTAAATGACAACATATGTCTGTGAATAAATATATATGTGAGCCACTTGTATGAAAGTCACATATAGGTTAGTCCTAAATCCATTAAACTAAGCTAACAGCGTTAAATCATCTTGACAATAAAAAATAAAATTAAGATTAGTTAAAATAAATATAATAACCAAAACTTTAACCAAACCTTAAAGGGTATAACTATAGTAAAAGTTTTATATATTCAGGTCGATATCCAAGTATGAACTAGCACACCATGATAAAAATTATACATGACTTGGCCAGCTTAGTAGATTTTGGTCACTTAAATTTAGTTTTAGTAAATATAACAACCAATACTGGTAATGAAAGTAATTTTACAGAAATGAAAATTATAATTAACTTACTATAGTTGCTGAAAAATAAAATTGTTTGACTGCCCCTAAAATTTGCTAAGACTGATAGATTTGTCCAGAATCTATAAACAAAAAGTGCCATCATTCCTAGTGAACTGGGATATTTACAGGTGCAAGGGATACATTGTTTAGAGGCAATATACACCGAGTACACATAAGCCTGTACAAATGTTCAATTGACAACAACCTTAGTTTTATAATTTTATTGTTTCATAAACAAAGTAGTTTTAGAACAGAAAACTGTTGTAACTGAGTCATTACAACTTAAAATGTACACTTCTAGCTGAACCTCTGGCCAATCATAATTCATTCGCAATCCAGATTTTTTATATTTAAAATCAAGTCTTCTGACTATCTTGTCTTTAACAAGCAAGTTGTCTTATTACATTCATTCTTTTATTGCTTAACCTGTTAACTTCGACACTGCATAATGGAAGGAGATTTCTTGAAACATTTCTTTTATGTTGCCACGGTGGTTTGGACTCCTACTTTACCCTTCCCAAACCCAAGGGACCAGCGTCATCTTTGACTCAGTGAAGGTACCAACCTGCCAT